AATAAGACAAGGTAAATTGCATTTGGGAACCCAGTGGATTTAGTATTTTATTTAAGTGATTTCTGATTTTTAAAAAGTAAATGTTTGTATTCATAAGGCTGAGAAATTTATAAGTAGGAGGTTCTTTTTTTTTTTTAAATAATTTTAAAGTTGCATTTTTGACACTGTGCCTCCTGTAGTTGTCTTGGCAGTCTCTTTGTAAGAAAGTAGTGGAAATGTTGGGAATTAACGAGCTCTTTTTTAAAAAATCAATTTTTCTTCATTCAGGTTCCAGTTGTTGCACTCACTGCGACTGCAAGTTCTTCAATCCAGAAAGACATTGCACGTTGCTTACATCTGAGGGATACTCAGTTTACCTGTACTGGCTTTGATCGACCAAACCTGTATTTAGAAGTTGCAAAAAAAACAGGGAATATCCTTCAGGATCTGAAACAATTTCTTGTCAAAAAGACGAGGTAAGGATTTAATGGCTGATGAATTTTGGTAATGATTTCCTTCTTTTTAAAAATTTTATTTACTATTCTAATGCATGTGTAACATATTCAAATTCTACCTAGCTTTGGTTCAAGTCAAATGTGGTGGTGTTATGATTAATTCAGTGACTGAGGAAAAAGTCTATTTTTGAAGGCAGAAACTAATTATTCTAATGTTGTAATACTCCAAAGCAACTTCTGCAAGTGGTATATTATGCCTTATTTTTAATCTGTAATTCACAAATCATAACTCCTGTTGCTTGAACGGGACATACGCTCTTAATAATTGACAAATAAACGTAAAATAAGTCTTTCATATGAATTCTGTCTAGTTCACTATTACATGACTAACTTCAATCTTAGGAAATTTAGACAAGGTCATCCTATAAATATGTCAGAGTCTATATTATGTTCCAAGGACTATCCTAAGTGTTTTATATAAGTGATCTAGTTTAATCCTCATAACTGCACAGTAAACCACATATTATTTTCATTTTACTGATGAAGAAACTGTCACTAGTACTTTTCTATTTGTTTTGTTTAAAGGCATTTTATATGTATGGTAAGAAACTTTCCTAAGCCTTCCTCCTTTGATCTGTCTGCTCAGTGAAAAGCTTATAATTTTTGTTTTATGAAATACATTTTTTAGTGAGAATACATTAAAATAATGTTTCTCCTGTCAATACAAACACAAAACAAATCCAAGCAAATAGAATTTAAAGAGCATCGTTAGTGTTTTCTTCTTCCAGAAAGGGATAAAGAGAAGATCTATCGATCCTAGGTTAAGGAAATCCTGTAGTTATTCTTGAGGATCTTAAGGAATAATTTAAATGTAGAATTTGCTACCAGCTTAGTTGTGCTATATTGAGAATAAAACAAGAATGTAAAGAATATATTCTGAGTGTTCTGGCCACTCTTGTGGTCTCTCTGAAGTGAGTACTTATTGTGTTTCACTTCCCTTTCATCCAAAAGGGAAAAAATTCACTTCAAGAAGACTGTTTCAGAAAGGAGAGGGCTGTTATAAGGAGAAAGTGCCGTAGAGAGTGAGGGTAATACGGACTAAAATGCATGAGAGATACGGAGTAATGGTTAGACTTTGGAGACAGGACAGTTTGCCATTTTTGTTTTGTGACATTGTGTTCTCCTATTTTTCTGACACTATTGTCCTCTTACATCTTACGCAAATATTTTCTTCTCACTATTTTTCATCTTAACTCTTCTAATTGAGGTCTTTGATGCTTTTTAGCCCAGATTGTTATAATCTCTCCTAACAGATCTCCCTCCTCATCAGTGTTCCTTCGTGTATTCTGTACGCAGTTTACAGTTTATCGTC